CACTGGCCCCTTTTTCGGAAGGGGCATGCTAAGTTTGAAAGTGGGAATAGGGAAATCCGCGGGGGATTTAAATATCCCCCGCGGATTTAAATAAACATGTCCACCGCTTTTTTTACGGCTTGGGGAAATGCCGGAAAAAAAGCGTCTAGACTGGCCCGATCCTCCGGAATAAAGCCCTATTCCGGAGGATCTCTTATTCCTACTTCAAAGGAATAGCCTAAATGTATAGGGGGAAAAAAACTGATGCGAGGATCTCTTATTCCTACTTGAAAGGAATAGCCTAAATGTATAGGGGAAAAAAAACTGATGTCATATTAGCTAGGCAGCAGATGTATTCCAGCTGTTGTGTAGGACTTGTCTTAAGTTCCTTAGCATTGTCAACTCATCACATAACTCTTCAAATCCTTCAAATTACCATCTGTCAGGATGGTGCCGAGAACAGTGCACTGTTCAAATAATATATCCTGATTGCTTGAAGGCAGTTCCAGAATTTTTACTAAACTGAAAGGCTTACTAAGTTTTTAAAGTTGAGAACATCTTTCCTTAGCTGGCTGGCCATATTTACTACTGAATAAAATAAGCTCACTTTGAAGCCCTGTTCAAGCTTGACAGTTGGCTCATTGCAAGCCTCAGTGAAATTGAATTTTTTCCCTTCAGCTTTGGACTTGGATCTCTTCCACAAATATTCCTTGTATGTTGAGTGATTCTTATAATTGTCAAGCAAAACTGCAATCTGAGCAATAGTTTTTCCAGAAATCTTGTAGATCCCTTCTTTGATTGCTTGATGAAGATCAGATTCTACCACTTGTAAAATCTTGCTCACTTTGTTAATTTCAAACAAAATATCATATATTTCTCCAAATTGATACCTTATGGTTCTGACTGTTTCATAGCTGCTTTCCCAGCATATTTCAGACAGTTGTTTCACTGTAAGATCTGAGTTTTTGTTACTTTTCAAAAGCATACATCCCATTGATATGTTGTCAGTGAAAAATACAAAAAAAAGCCCAAATGACTTCACTGATGCTTTCTGCAGCATTGCTAGTATCAGATTGACTGAGTGGGCATTGCAGGTCATGAAAAATGTTCAAATTGAGGTCATGTGCTCATTTCTGCACTCCACTATTCTTGCCACTTATATTAGCTCTGTTGTCATAATATTTTCATATTGGCAAGAGATAGTCCCATCTTGTTTAACTTATGGAGAAGAGCTTCCACCATACCAAGTGAATCACTCAGTTTCACAGAAGCTAAGAAGTATTCCTATATTTCCATGTTACATCTTGTTTTCTTTATCTTGTGGAAACATATCTTACAATCACTATGCTTTGTTGTATGTGGCTAATTTCTGACGTATATTAAAGGATGACTGAGTAATATTTTGTCTCCTTCACTTTACTTCTGATACCAAGAAATTTTGGCTAATTTCTGACGTATATTAAAGGATGACTGAGTAATATTTTGACTCCTTCACTTTACATCTGATACCAAGAGATTATTCAGCTTTTTCTGAATGTTTTTTCCTTGATACTAAAAATAGATCTTATTTGATGTTATTCTTCTCAAATGTTCTTTGCAATGACATCAAACATGCCCATCAATTCTACAAAATTTAGAAAAATCTCCATTACTTGATTCAGATGGTATGTCTGAATTGCTCAGAAAAGCCAAGTTTTCAACAACAGTTGTCCAAGTAAGAGTCATATTTTTATGTGGTCTTTCTCCCAGTCTTATATCCTGATGATATTGATCAACTGTCGTATTACAGTTTAATCTTGCTTCTATTTTTCCCATTTAGAGTGATGAGATGTGATTAAGAGAGCTTTCATAACTACTGAGAATGGCAGATAATTTTTTCCAGTTTCAAATGCCATCACTTGCCAACACAGACATAACATTCAAATTAAGATCTGGGAAAAAAACCCTACAAATACACTTCCATTGCTTACTGAGTAATCAGAACCTAGTAGTAGCCCCACCAGTTGACATATGGTACATGTAGTGATGCGGAGCAAAGTTCCTGTTTCCAATATAGGAAGTTAAAAAGATTTTACTTTCATGCGTCCTTTAGCCCCTACCTGTTCTGCAACTCTTCAGTTTATTTTGGGCCATTGGGCAGTATCAGATTAGCCTCAGTCCAGCTCTGCTCCAGCTGTTTGCTTCAGTGACTTAATCACCAGGAAGTTTGGTTCCATATTTTCACTGATTTCCTCAACTTCACAAGTATTAGCAGCATTCAGTGTTCATATATTTAAATGTAGAACCTTTCTGTGATTCACAAAAGGCATCTTTTTCTGCTTTATGTTTTTCATTTTCTGCACCAGACGAATGCTTTTCAAAATATAATATTGCTGTTTGGAGTTTTACAAAAGAACTTTTAAAAACTCATGTTGGTGTTTGCAGGACCTAAAGATCAAAAAACTGCTAATGGAGGCCACTTGTTGCTAACAATTTGTGACCTCAGATAGGAGTTTGTTAGTTAGATATCAGTGGCATTGGTAGACTATTTTATAATAGGGACCTGAATTGTAAATCTGTCAATTCATTCTCATCTCAAATTTTCCAATCAAGAACTGAAAATATAAATAGCTTCTCACAAAGTTCTGCTGCCCTAGATACATAGTTTGCTTATATCTTGAGTGGCTCTTGGGTCTGCTCCCCATAGATACAGGCTCCCTCTCATGAGAAGTCCATGCTCCTGGCTCCCCATCAATATAGGACCTATCTCAAACCCACCCCAACTAGCTTTTATTTCTTCCCAATAGACAAAGGTCTTCTCTGCCCACTTCGTAAGAGGCCTGAACAGAATCTCATTGGCTCTCAGCTCTCAATCAGCCAATGGGAAAGTAGCCATTGCAGTTGGATGGTGTGGGGCAGAGTCAGAAATTGTGTTGACTGAGAAGCAGAGGTGAGCAGAGTGTTTCTGACATAGTAGCTGCTTAATAAAAGACTATGACCTGCAGCAATCTGCCTCAATGTTAAAAAAAAAAAGTCTGTATGGTTTTTTCAAAGGGTTTTGCTGAACTTTGTGGTCCTCTATTGCAAAAATTGAATTGTTAACCTTGAGTTAAGCATTGCAGTGCTGAGCCCAGAAATGCCTAAATAACTTCAAAAATTTGGGTCTTAGGGCTTATACATTTATAAACCACCTAGCACATATGAAGTATTACCTAAGTTACGCTAATAATTAATAATAATATTAAGAGTTATCATAATTAGTTTGCATTAGACATGATTACCTTACATAGATTTAATCAGAATTAATGCCAAGCAAGAGCGTATACATGCACAAACTTTTTCAGCATTTGAAATATGCTGAAGTAGACATGAAAGATTAAAGATGAAGGATTTTCGGAATTTTAGTACCACATTAGTTTTCAGTCTAGACACGAGTCTTTTATATTTGTTTTTATTAAGAAAGCTTCAGTGACAAAAAGAGATAATTTTGCAAACTACATTTTTTCAGGTAATTAATATATAATGCATTCTATAGTCCTTCTTGGTGTTTTGGAAACCTTTAGAAATAATTCAGCATTTCATGTTTGCATTGCAAAGTAGCAACTAAGTACATATTTTTTTTATTTGCATCTGAGTTTCAGAGTGATAAATTCTGTGTGCTGTGTTTTATCATGTAAACTCTGATTCCTTTAACTGAAAGTGTAGATTTGAGTACCTCCTGCTTTTTATCTTTCATACTCTATCATAATTTGCATATTGTTTTATAATACCCAGGCTAACCAGCATTCTATACTACTTGTGCAATATATATTACTGCAGCATTGTGTGCTGTTAGAATATGAGTCTGGTACTTGAAATGCATTAGTAATATGAGTTTAAAAAAAGGTGCAGAATGAACATACAAATACAGAGGGGTCATGACAGTCTGATTATCCCTGATTCTTACATACTGTGATGGTGTAAGGAGCGGAAGGGTGAAAAGATTTCTACTGTAGATACTAATGGCGGTGGGCAACACTGTGATTAACTGGTCTGACCTCCTGCATAACAAAGGCCATAGACCTTCCCCTAAATAAATTCCCGCTTGATATAGACCATATCTGTTTTTTTAGACAAACATCTCATTGTGATTTATAAATTGCCTATGATGGAGAATCCACTACTACCCTTGACAAATTGTTCCAAGGGTTAAGTTCTGTCACTTGTTAAAAATTTGTGTTGTCTTTCCAATCTAAAGTTTCCTGGCTAAAGCATCAAGCCATTAGATCTTATTAGACTTTTGCCTGAAAGAACAAAAGGAGGAGGAGGTATAGTGGCACTGAGACCACTTACAGAGAGAAAGAATGAGTTTCCTATACAGCCTTAGTTGGGAGCCAGCTGGCTTTTAGCTCAAGCTCTGGAGGCTCATACCCTAAGCTCCAGAGGGTTCAGGTTTGGTTCTGCCTATTGGTGTTACAGAGGCTTTTCCCTGTAGTGTGGATAGTGCAAGAACAAGCGACAGTCCCTGCTCTCAAGAAGTGCATGGCCCAGTCCCTCATTGAACTCCACAGAGCACAAATCACTGTAAGTGAAGTAATGCAGAAAGGAGGTAAATCTCTTTAAAAACCATAGTGGCTAACAAGAGCTTGCCCCACAATAGTCCTCTTCCCTCAAGCCCTGTCCCTGCTCTATCTCCTTGCCCAAAGTAGGGATGTAAGTGACTAGTCGACTACCTGATAAACCTAGGCAATCCCAAACAATCCAGCAAAGTATTTAAGCACATATTTGAGCTCTTTACTGGCTCATAATGAGTTCACTTTTCCAGAGAGTGGTACAGGTCAGCTTTCACCAACCTGTTCCTTCCCTCTCTTCCCACTTGGGCAGGGTTTCTGTGAAACACAATGACTCCATCCTCAAGCTCACAGTGACATGGTGAGATTTTGCATCATCCCCATGCTGGTGACTGCCACAAGTGGACCATTAATGTTCATTTTGCCCATATATATATAAAGTAAGGGCCTAAATTTCCAAACTTCACCACAACATTGCCATGTGATAGTTACCTAAGCAACTACAGCAGCACAAGGTATTTAGGTTCATTTTTCTTTTGAGAGTTGCATGTGGAATCCTCAGCCTACCTGCAATTGAACAAAAAAGTAAAAAAAAAATAAGATCTTGGGAAAGGATTTCCTCATTAATTGGGCTTGATGTTCATATTACTAACCATGACTTGCTTGTGGTTGGATTTATCCATGGGATACCAGATATTGTATATATTTATTTTAAAAATGTGAAAAACTGGCACTGCTTTCCCAGGACAAAAGTGGAAAGGACTCAGAATTAATCATTAGCTATTGTAACTTTCACCTCAAGCATTCTGGTTAGAAGAAAGACCACATTTGTAGTAACTGAAAGCTAATTATAGCCTGCCAGTTGTTGCTTGGCCATTATGAAATGAATTTATGATCATTTCATTTCAATCCAGAATGGCCAGGTAGCCCCATTTCAGGCAGTTAGCTCTACTTATCAAGATAGCTTGAAGTTTCAAGAAGGTAGGATAGGGAAAAGAACTGAATTAGCCTGGAAACAGAATCCTCTAACGGTGCTCTTTCCATCAGAATATTGGCAGCCCTTTGTGGGATAAGACTGCACCTCTACTGCCCTGTGATGTAAGTTATCTGTAGATCAGCAGCACACTTTCAGTTTTAGTGGCTATGAATCAGTCACCTTCTACATTTTTTGTTAGTCTCCAAGGTGCTGCAGAACTACTGGTTGTTTTTTATGATGGGTATCATGAGCTTTCATGGGCACAAGCCACTTCTTCTAATGAATGGAGTAAGGGGTCCAGGATACAAATAAATAACAGAAAAGGAGAGAGGATGGGGGAGGCAAAGAGAAGGAAAAAAATAGGAGAAAATATTGTCATTTAGCTTGTCCATGCTAAATGAGGCTATTAGAGTGGGCTGTAAGTACCCAGTGCTTAGCTTTCTATGTCATTATGGTATGAAATGTACCCCTTGGAGACTTTCATCTATCATAGTTAAAGACTAAGCTTCCAGATTTTCCCATTCATACTCATGTTGAATAGTGCCTTATTCCAGGAGTAGCCCTATCAACGTTGATTTGACAACTCTTGGAGTAATGTGCAACCCAAAATAAGGTTTCCCAAATTCATTTGATAAATGTTTCTTATAGCTTACAGAAAAATGGTACTCACTTTATATAGCTTATGGAACAAAGTTAATATTTTTGAAATGCCATACTTCTGGAAATCTGGTACTTATTGCTGGGCTAATCATTTAATTCCATTTTTTTAAAGGTATTGCCCCTCTCAGTATAAAAAAAGTTTTTCCTGCCGTGGAATAGAATTATGTCATCAGGCTCTCTGGCTGTGAAAGCGGCTAGAGATGGGGGGTTGGCAAGCATAGCAAGCAGAGGGCACAGCCCCTTAGTATTTATTAATTTAAAAACCAATCACTAGCTCTCACTGAGTTCTGTCTATTGAGTGAAAAACTTTGCAGCAGAAAAAAACATACCTTGAAATGAAGGAAGAAAATGTGGAAGATGTTTTTTATGTATGGGGTTTGTGTGTGTGTGAAAATAAGATCTGGATTAGACCTTTTAATGATTTGTATCACTATCTTCAGTAGTATGGAACATCAACACATCTTTTTCCAGAAAGAGGTAACACTGTGTCTTTAAGACCTGGTTTAATGTAAATTTGACACAATATTTAGAAATTAGAAAGATAAAGACATTATTTTTAGGGTTCCTCTTTGAAAGCCTTAATGCCCAACAAACTCCAATGTGTTTTACTCTTCCATCTATGATACCCAGGATAGTACAGGTATTTTCACTTCCTCAGAGCAGCACATCATTTCCCAATTTCAAGCCCTGATACATGTAAAGTCTGTGAAGATTCTTGATGAAGACAGTATTGGAAACCTAATTCCTAATCTGATCTGATGTGAATTTTCAGTTTAAAGAGCAACTTGATTGCTATGCTGCAGGAAAACAAATTTAATAAAATTCTGTAAGGTCTTATCTATGTTACAGAGAAGATCAAAGCTGACACAGTTGATCATCTGCAGTTCAAATTAGCGGGTCTAGGGAAGACGTACTAATTTGAACTGAGAGGGTGCTCCTGTCAGTGCTGGTAGTCCTGCTCCTCACAAGGAATAAGGGAGGCTGATGGGAGTGTGTGCCTCTGTCGACCTCCTGCTTTGTGGACAGTGCCAAAACACTATTTAAGATACTTTGACTCCAGCTACATAATTAACATAGCTGGATTTGCGTATCTTAAGTCAACTTTCCCCTTTAATGTAGACCAAGTCTAAAATACATGTAGTCCCCTTATTAAAGGTGCCTCTGCTTATTCTCTGGGAAGATCCTGTGTGCTGCAATCTAGCCCCAGGGACTACAATTCCCATGAGCCCTGGAGGAAACCAGGAAGGAGGTGACTCTTTGTTTGGGTGCTGGGTTTCTCCAGGGGTATGGAGAGACTCTCAGCAGTCTGTGATTCTTCCCTTTGTATTTTGGAAAAGAGAAGCCAGGCTGCTGTGGAGAAGTTTTAGCCAGTCCAGGAGCTGGTAGGTTGCGGCTACAGACTTGGATTCAGAGCCTTTGGGACTGGAATCTAGCACGATGCTTCTGATTGCCCTTTGACTGTATCTGTGGCTTGAAGTACTACTCTCCACCCAGCACACAGAAGGAGACTAGAATCATCCACTCCAGCTGCAAAATCTTCAAGCGTGCCCACGCAAGCAAGAGTATAGTACAATGAGTCCTGAGGAGTGCATACTCTGGGGTATGATAAACGGGGTGGGTGCAAATGCCAGATAGATACGTTCCTATTATTTCTGTGTACAGGCAGTCCCCGGGTTACGTACAAGATAGGGACTGTAGGTTTGTTCTTAAGTTGAATCTGTATGTAAGTCGGAACTGGTGTCCAGATTCAGCCGCTGCTGAAACTGATCAGTTTCAACAGCGGCTGTTTTTCATAAAATTAATATGGTTCAAGAAACTACTACTAGCTCAGGATAGTATTTTGAGAGAGACCTTGACAACTTGCTGTTACATTTCATTAAATAACATGGATACATGCTATATTTAGACCTTCTAACCTAACTTCTGGATCTAAAGTGTTAGAAATGTGAAGGATTTTAAAATTATCTTGCTAGGACATCCAAACCTTGGTATCATCCTGAATCTTCATTTCATACTTTAAAAGGAACAGACAATAGTGAATATGGGTGTGAAGTGTGTTATTCACAGCTTCAAAATGGGAAAGGCTTCAGCTATGGCCCTGGTAACTGTCATGTGACAAGGCATCTAGGTGACTGTATATGTGAAATGAGTGCAAATGCTCAGAAATGGGCCTCAGAATTACTTGTTCTGACTTTTTTTTTTCCAGGAACCTGTTTTTAAAAAGGAATTTATTTTTCCTTTTGTGGATATAAAAGTTACAAGGGTAGAAGAGCATTAATGTGCTAGCTTTTTGCTGGACCACAAAGAAGGGGAAAATATGTGATGGCAATTTGCAGGTCTTTTTACTGCTCCTGTTCATCTCACCACTCTGTTGCTGCTTCTTTGTAAAAAGGTAGTGAAGAGGCCTCAGGGAAGCCAGGAAAGAGGAAGAGGTTTAAACAAGTGAATACTTTTCACATTAAAGGAAGCATTTAATGTTTTTTAAAGGTTTCATGATCCCAGGAAGCGGGGGGCAGAGCAACTCTGCCTCGGGTTTACTGTAGTCAGCCACTATGCGCCTGGGCTGTCCCGCTGCGGGCGTCCTCCGCGGCTTTGCTCCGTGTCTCCCTGGTCTGACCAGCAGACCAGGGAGACGGGGAGCAGCTTTTCTCTCCCCAGAGGACGCGGGCGGCGGGACTGCGGCTCATCTGGGCGTCCCGCCGCTCCCGTCCTCCGGGGCGAGAAAAGCCCCGTTCGTAACTGCGGATCCGACATAAGTCGGATCCGCGTAACTCGGGGACTGCCTGTACTTTGTTAATATTATTCACTGTTAATCCGTTAAACTCTGTTTCTTTAAGTTATTAAGTAAAGGTTGTTCTTTCTACTGTAATCTATCAGATGTATACTGTTTATGATTTGTAATTGTTGTTCTGGAGCTAGATCCAGATTATTGCTGGAATAATTTTATTTCTGGAGGGTCCCAAGGCACACCATTAAGTGTGTACAGGGCCAGCCAGGTGGAGGCACCACCATTATATGTTCTTTATGAGCATGGGACAGCAACAAGGGGGTGGATAGAGTTTCCCCAACTAAACATCATCACCACTGGGGTACTCAGGATCTCTTTTTATGTTAAAACCATCAGGCACCCAGGCACACCTGGGAGTGTGACCTGCTCCCAAGTAACCCGGGGAGGAAAAAGGGGGTTACATATGTAATTGGATGAATAATATAAATGGTTACTATAATCCATTATTGTTCAAAGATAAACAGTTTTATGTTAATGGATGGCTACTCCTCCCCCTTCCTCCTGAGATAATTTCTTGCTTATGTAAACTTATATCAGGAAAGTAATTCATATTCGAGGTTCTCTTTGTGTGGCGTTAAATACAAATTCAACATTATGATTTCTGAAGTTCGTGAAAGTCAGAAGCAAAGATGCTATCATTACTGAAGTGAATGGAGTTTGACCACAATAAAGCCTGTTCATTCAAGGGCATTAAAAACTCAATTAATGTCATGAGTCATTGTTTGACAATTCAATTAAAGTCTGTGACCTTCCCAGTTGATTTAATCAGTTACTTCTGCCTAATTTAATAGATCCTGTATTGTTAATTGTTAAAGCATGATTGGCATGTCTATGTTGAAATGCTTGTACAGACATCATGATTTGGAACTATTCAAAAGAATTCAGTGTATCTATCTTTTCATAGAGATATCTGTAGAAGATGTGGAAGATGGTCTTAATATGTTTTTTTGTTGAATATAAGATCTGAATTAGTCCTTTAAATGAAGTTTCAGCCCTTTTTCTTTGCAAATCTATGGCTTTGAATATGCTTATTTAAATGATATGTAGTCTTGGAATTGAATGTCAGGTTTCATAAAAACATTTTGATGTTAAATGTTTCCTCACTTAATGGACTGGTACTTGGATTTGAAGAAAACACCCGAA